CCCCCCCCCCCCCACCCCCGGCTGGTGTGCTTGGGGTGCTGCTTGGTCAGAACTGGTCTCTGTCCTTGACCTTCAGACCTGCCAGTGAGCTGAGCTTTGGATGCGGTTCGCTCGTGGCTGAAACACAGCAGCAGCCTTCAGGACCGGCAGGTGAGGGAATGATGGGCAAGACCAGCAGCCGAGCCTCAGACAGCTCCCAGGCGAGGTCAGTATTACACAGGGGACGCCGATTAGCTGTTGGCCAGCCCTGCCTTAAGCAAAGCAGGCTGGAATGAAATCTTCCGTTTCCTCACTATAAATAGCTTCCTATGTATCAATACCTAGGAGTTCATCCGATTTTAGCAAAAGCATCTAGTTAGCCTCTTACTCTCTCCTGGGGGCAGACATGTGCCATGTTTATGATCCCTTCGTTAAGCGCCAGCCCCTCACGTTTTTCTTAGAGCTTCAGGATTGGCACCTCATACTGGAATTCTAGGATTTGGGGCACACTAGGTTGTTACGTACTGACCCCGGCTTCACCATGGATGAACCGAGATGTCATTTATGCGAAGTGGAACCAGCCAGTTACAAAAGGACAAATGATACATGGTTCCACTCAGGAGGTCCCTAGAGCAGTCAGATCCGTAGAGAAGAAGAGAACGGTGGCCAGGGGCTGAGGGGAGGGGGCGAATCAGGAGCTGGTGTTGGATAGGGACAGAGTTTCAGTTCTGCGCCGTGAAAAAAGTCCTGGACGTGGACAGTGATGGTGGTTGTTCAACAGTGTGGATGTACTTAACGTCACTGAATTTTCCGCTTCAAAAATTGTTAAAATGGTCGATGTTATATTATGGATAGTTTACCCCAATTAAAAAAAAATATTTTAAAAGAGAAATATCATGTATCTTGGGGTGCCTGGGTGGCTCGGTCAGTTAAGTGTCCGACTTCAGCCAGGTCACGATCTCACGGTCCGTGAGTTCGAGCCCCGCATCGGGCTCTGTGCTGATGGCTCAGAGCCTGGAGTCAGCTTCGGATTCTGTGTCTCCCTCTCTCTCTGCTCCTCCCCCACTTGCAGTCTGCCTCTCTCTCTCTCAAAAATAAATAAACATTAAAAAAGGTTTAAAAAAAAGAAATGTCACGTATCTTATGCTTTAATTACTTCCCCTTAGATCCCTTGTTTGTCCAGGAGGAAGAGGCCTGATATTTCCTTTTTTTTTTTTTTTAAACAAAATGTCTGTATGTTAGCTCTTCATCCCCCTAAACATTTTTTTTTGCCCCGTTCTACCTAATGAGTGTAAAACCAGTAGAAACAATTATTAAACATATCAGTCATATACATTTCCCCTTACAACTTTCAGGAAAGTTCGTGACACGTGCTATAGGGTAAAGAAGAAAAAAATCATGATTAAGGTATTAACCTGTCAAGTTATATAAAACCAAAAGACATACTAACTTGGAGCAGCTGTGAGGTCTTTTTCTGAGGCTCCACTCCGTGGGAACTGATCCTGTCTCTTCTATTGTTGTAGAGGCCCTTGGGTCACCTTTTAGGATGCACCTTGGTTGGATGTCTCTCTTTTTTTTTTTTCCTTAGGATATTATTTTAAGTAATCTCGACCCCCAACACGGGGCTCGAACTCACCACCCCAAGATCAAGAATCACCTGCTCTACCGACTGAGCCAGCCAGGAGCCCCGCCTTCACGGTCTTGAGGTGTCAGAACACCTTTTCTTTTGGGACAGACTCTAATGAAGCTCCCTGGGCATCATTAGAGAGCCAGCAGGAACTCCTTTAACCTGATAACTCAGAATTTTGAGGAAAACTTCAAAAACAAAGGTAGTACTTCCTAAATCAAATTGTCATTTCTAGAAACCATCTTAGGCAGCAAACTCCTCAGCAGCTACTTTTCCTTGAAAGTAGCAACTACTGTAACCATCAGAAGACCAGAGTCGACAGCACTGTGCTGCGTATCTGCAAGTTGCTCACACTGGACCTTAAAGAGCTCTTATCACAGGGCGCCTGGGTGTCTCAGTCGGTTAAGCGTCCAACTCTTGATTTTGGCTCAGGTCATAATCCCAGGATCATGGGTTCGAGCCCCAAATTGGGCTTAGTGCTGACAGTGCAGAGCCTGCTTGGGATTCTCTCTCTCCCTCTCTGCCCCTCCCCCATGTGTGTGCTCGCTCGCTCTCTCTCTCTCTCTCTCTCTCAATAAATAAACTTAAAAAAATTAAATAAGCATGTTGAATATACCTCAGTAGAGCCATTTTTAAAATTCTTTTAATTTAAAATTTTAAAAAGGAAAATAACAGGATACATAATAAAAATATAACTCACAAATCAGAAGTGCACAGCTCAATTTACCTTGCGACTATAACATTAGATTCAAACCCCGGTTAGAAAAATCAGAATTTGGTTGAGGTCTGAATCCAGAAAAGAATAACCCATGTTTGTGACTTGTTTATGTTTAACATTCACCGCCTTCCTAGGAAATTGTGGTTCCTTCTCGATGTGGTTCTGTCCTAGGACAAAATAGAAAACGGGGTACCATCTCCCTCCTGGAATAACATAGCATTCCTTCTTAGAAATCTTTAAATCGTGTATGTTGGATGCAGGACGAGGAAAAAATAAACTATCTTGCAAAAGTGTTCGGGGATTGCTTGCTCTAGCCAGATGCTCCACTTTGTGAGACTAAGAGAACATTGGAATCTCTTTTCGAGCAAACTAGTTTATGGGGGGCGTGATTGGGATGAAAGCAAAATGTTACCACCCGTCGCTTATATGGCAAGAGCCTCCCCTAATAAAACATTTAACAGCTTCTCATGTATTCTCTTGCCTAGTCTGAAGGTTTTAGTGACATTCACGGAGGGCCTTGGCTAAATATCTCGGACGAGGCCAGCCTGGGCGTTATGACGTTAGATCACAGAAAGGGCCACGTACTGGTCATTGTCTCTGGTTCATCCTGCAAGTGGTGACATGGTCCTGGGCAGTCAAGGCAGGGGTTCCTCCCTCTGATCGCAGATGTTTCGATGGCACGTTCCTTCCAGAGTCAGAATAAATACTGGGTTCCATAGACACGCGCCCTGTGCGTGAAGTGCCCTATTTAAGGTGCAAAATTAGAATATTAAGAGTGGCAGGCTATGCAGTGAGTTCCATTGGGACTTTCGTTCTCTTGTCCAGCGTCTTGTCGTTTCTTCTAGAAAATGAGAATCTAGAGCTTGGCATTTTCTAGTCTGCATCCGAATCTAGCCAGCCTTGAAAACGGAACCAAACAAAAACTCTTTTTTATGCTAAAGATTTTCTTAAAAAGGTATCTTTCCGGTTTTTGTTCTTAACTGATCCAACTCTCAAGAATTCAGGCTACAGAATACGCTGGAATTCTGTGCTTTGAGAGGACCCAGTCAGACAGCAAGCCCCAGCCGTGTGCCTGCGTGTGCGTGTGTGTGTTCATGACTGTCTATGTTAGAGTCCTATCCACCTGCCTTCGCTACTCTCTCTGTTAAGGATGAGAATGAAATAGCATAAAATCTTCCCTTTTCCGGACGTGAAAAGTAAGTTGGTATCTTCCCGAGTTCAACACTTAGGTTGAAATCGAAGTCAGGAAGTGGGAAAAAAAATGTGCTGCGGTTGCTATGGCAACCCACTGACACCTCTCACGCTTTGGTTTCAAGACCTTTCCCCCTCTGTGAAACTAACAGGGCACCAGGCTCAATGGGCTCAAACAGCGAAGGGAAGATATATTTGGGTGGCTAGGTCAAAATCACTTGAAGGGTCTTTGCTCAGATGTGTATGACTTGTTTTTCATTTGGATTAGTGTTCAAAGAGATTCTCATGCTCTTTACAAACACCTGAGTCCCCCAGCGGCCAGGCCTTTGGTGTTCTTTGTCTTGCCGGGGATAGTGGTTCTGTTCTGTTCTGTTCGGCGGCCAACGCATGCCCACCTTAGGGGCCGGGAGGGGTCTGGCTAGGCTTCTGCCGGGTCACAGCTGCATTTTGTATACACTGGCAGAAAAATTCACACCATGGAGGGTTGTGTTGTGTTCATTAAATGATTTATTGAAAAAATAAGCTGTTTATAAACTGTCCTTTATCAGAAAGTGTGCAAAGAGCCATCTGCCAAATAGCATAATCCCACTGGAGTGAGGCAGACAGCCCCTCGGGGACCAGTTGTTTTGTGCTGGAGGCTTTCCCCTCTGTTTCCTCTCCCGTCGCCTCGGGCAGGGGCAGGCCCTCCAACTGCTGCGGGGGGGCCCCCCCCCCCCCCCCCCCCCCCCCCCCCCCCCAACCTCCAGGCTTGCACACGGGAAGGTGCTCCTAGCTGTCCGGAGAAGGATGCTATTGCCTGGAGCGTGATTCCATAATTCCGGCAGGAGACAAAGAGGGCGACTGGTTAAGCAGAAAGACAAACAGGAAAAGTAATTCACAGCCAGCAGGAGCTTCTGCCAGAGTCTCACAAGCCAAAAATTCATAGTAACACTGTATGGGTGTTTCTGAATCTTCCGAAGGCTTGAAATGAAATGATGGTAAGCAGCACGGGATGCCTGCTAGGGTAGAGTGTAGACCCATGCTGCTTTTTATCACCAGCACACCAAGCTATCCGAAAGATCAAGAGCTTGATTGTACAATTGGTTTTCAAAGTCAGTAGTGCCAGATTTGAGAAGCATTTCAAAGAGTGCTCTGCTGAGCTGTCCCTGGGCACTACTCTCAGGCTTTCCTAGGGTTTCTTTTTACAGTGACACAGACTCGCCCAAGTTATTCTAATGATTCACCAGAGACACACAGTCATCTCTTTTAACGTTAGTCGCTTAGTCGCAACGGAATTAAAAATATATCTGGAGGGGCGCCTGGGTGGCTCAGTCGGTTAAGTGTCTGACTTCGGCTCAGGTCATGATCTCACGGGTCATGGGTTCGAGACCCGCGTCGGGCTCTGTGCTGACAGCTCAGAGCCTGGAGCCTGCTTTGGATTCTATGTCTCCCTGTCTCTCTCTCTCTGCCCCTGCCCCTCTTACGTTCTGTCTCTCTCTCTCTCAAAAATAAATAAACATCAAAAAAAAATTTATGTATATATGGAAGCATCTTAAAATTTTACCAACTGTGTAGAAATCCAGAATTATATCTATGCTTTTAAAAACCTTGTAGGGGGCGCCTGGGTGGCGCAGTCGGTTAAGCGTCCGACCTCAGCCAGGTCACGATCTCGCGGTCCGTGAGTTTGAGCCCCGCGTCGGGCTCTGGGCCGATGGCTCAGAGCCTGGAGCCTGTTTCCGATTCTGTGTCTCCCTCTCTCTCTGCCCCTCCCCCGTTCATGCTCTGTCTCTCTCTGTCCCAAAAATAAATAAACGTTGAAAAAAAAATTAAAAAAAAAAATAAAATAAAAACCTTGTAAAGATATGACCATAAAAATTGCACTCAGTTGCACTAGCAGCAAAAGTAATGATTAATACTACTTGATTCATTAATGTTAGTGAAGTCAATAGGCTTTTCTTTCCTACTTCGGCTGACTTATTTGAGAACAGTGCTTTTCTCTGTCTCAACGACAGTAAAATAACCAACAAGTGATATAGCCCTGATTGTGTTCCAGGTAACTGCCCTAAGTCCTTTGCAGATATTAACTCATTAATCTGCTAACTGATGCTATGAAGCAGCTATTGTTATGATTCACTTTTTCCAAATGAGGAAACTAAGGCACAGAGAGGGGAAGTGACTTGCCCATGAACCACACAATAGACTTTTACATTTTTTAAGAATCTCCAGAAATCCCCTAGTAAGTCAGCAGTATACACGGTTTTCCCTGAACAGAGTCCTTTTCTCTCTGTACCCTAAGCTCACTGGAATTCTGTGCTTTAAGAATTTACTTTACTGTAAATTTACTTTAAAAATTTACTTTACTGTAATTAGCAATGGTAATGATAATAGTCTATGACATGTAGGGAGGGCTTGCTACTCTAGACCCTGCGTAAACGGGATAGGGCGTCAGGTCAGTTCTGCTCATCTCTCTTGGGCCCAACACAGGCCAGTCCCCAAAGGGTAATATCTGTGCTGCTCTGAAAAGTCTCTGCTGAAGAAAAGCCTCTTTCTCTTAAAGTTGTGCAGCAGCCTTTTCCATCCTGATGCTCAATGTAGTCTTCACCCTTTCTTACCCCTATGGCCTTGGGGCTCAGTCCTGGGACCACGTATATATCAGGCCAGGGAAGGAGCAAGCAAAAGTCTTGTTTCAGCCTCCCTTGCTACAGTTTGGTTCTAAAGGTTGGTATTTCTAACAGCTTGGAAAGCTGTCCAAGTTAGTAGGTGAGAGCTTGGTTTGAATGAACCCCCTTCAAGACCTGAGCCAAATTAGGGAGCCCAGGGTATCAGAATATCAAGACAGAGACCTCACTTTTAATAAGCTTGTCAAGCCAATGTTTCTTCTCTCGTAGAACTTCTGACGTATATGGCTACGCTCTGATTTAAGAATGTAGTGACTGGCGGTGCCTGGGTGGCTCAGTCAGCTAAGCGTCCAGCCTCACTCAGCTCAGGTCACGATCTCACGGTTTGTGGGTTTGAGCCCTGCGTCGGGCTGTGTGCTGACAGCTTGGACCCTGCTTCGGATTCTGTGTCTTCCTCTCTGTCTGCCCTCCCCTGCTAACGCTCTGTCTCTCTTTCTCTCTCAAAGATGAACAAACTTCAAAAAAAAAAAAAAAAGGGAAAAAAAAGGACGGAATGAGTGGGGCTCCTGGTGGCTCATCCGGTTAAGCGTTTGACTCTTGATTTCGGCTCAGGTCATGATCTCACAGTTCATGGGTTCAGGCCCTGCGTCGGGCTCTGCGCTCACAGTGTGACGTCTGTTTGGGATTCTCTGTCCTTTTCTGTCTGTTCCTCAACTCTCCTGTGCTTTCTGTCTTTCTCAAAAGTAAATTAGCATTAAAAAAAAAAAAAAAAAAAGAATGGATGAGTATTTACCTGCCCGGAGGACATCTGAAGATACAATCTATCACCAGCCTTAACATGAGTGAGAGGAAAGCCACTGGCCTCAGGGGCTTTCTGCTTGTTGCCTGAGTGATCCATCAGAGACACAGGAATAAGAGGGCAGGTTAGTGGAGCCTCTCCATCAAGATGGCCAGCTAAGGGCCCACCAAAGCAGTAGTGTGATTGCATCAGGGTTGGGAGCATTAAGAAATTGTTTGGCTACTTACCCATTCTGTTGTAGCTAGACATAGTTTGTCATTTGGAAGGTAGGCTGAAGGTAATCTTCATTTATTTTGAGACGGACAGAATGAGTGAAAGCATGGGTGGGGCAGAGAGAGAATCCCAAGCAGGGTCCTCACTAAAAGTGCCGGGCTTGAACTCCTGAACCGAGAGATCGTGACCTGAGCTGAGGTCAGGTGCTTAACGACTGAGCCACCCAGGTGCACCCGTTGAAAGTAATCTTAACTAGTTATATTTCTCCTTTCAGAAAAGTTAGGTAGGTGTCGGTGTGTTTTCAGTATCTTATAGTCCAAATTTTTCATTGCTCTCCTGGTAGAACCAGGTAGAACCTTATCCTCATTTTAAAGCTGGGAACCTAAAGCACGAATAGTAATTAAGATTCACTTTAACCTTTGTTGGAATCTTACTGCCTCCAGCTCCTCTTGCACCAGTCTTAAATAAATCTATTAAAATTTGTTTTTCATTCTTATGCTGTGTTTTCTAGATGACTAGAATACTTCCACAAATCCACTTATTTACTTAATATAATCTGTTTTTATTTTGACTTTTCCCCTGTATGGAACTACCCCTAGAACCATTAACTAGCAATTTGATAGTTGGCTTTTGTTATTGAATTTTTTGGAAAGGATACGGCTTGTTTATTTTTTATTTTTTTTAATAATTTCTTAAACGTTTATTTATTTTCAAGAGAGAGCCAGAGTGTGAGTGAGGGAGGGGCAGAGAGAGAGGAAGACACAGAATCTGAAACAGGCTCCAGGCTCTGAGCTGTCAGCACAGAGCCAGATGCAGGGCTTAAACTCACAAACCATGAGATCATGACCTGAGCCGAAGGTGGATGCTTACCTGGCTGAGCCACCCAGGCACCCCTGGCTCATTTATGATCTAGAAATATTGTTTTTATCTCATTGCAACTACTTTGGGGACCTTATAACAAAGCACAGTAGTGGAAATAATATTTATTTACACGTGGAAAGCTATCAAAATTTCCACCGAGATAATACATTTATAGCTGTGACAGCACCCTTTTAATAACTTTTAAATAGTTTTTGTTCACTTTTAGTTTTTTAATTCTGTCCTATTTTGGAAAGGTAACTGCTTAAAGACTGATTTCTTAGTATGATTTTCAGACCGGAAAATCTCAAAAGAACCTGTATTTGGAGGTTCTTGATCTAAAACTGACTCTTCCTGGATGGGAACTGCCAGCAGCTCTCACTGTAATGTTTCGTAGGGCTGTGCCCTGTTGGTATTATGAGCTGTTGGGAAGTTCTGGTAGAGAATTGGATGCTTTGCTGGGCAAGGATTTTTTTCTCCTTCAAAATTTAGGGTAAGTTTTGGGGCGCCTGGGTGGCGCAGTCGGTTAAGCGGCCGACTTCAGCCAGGTCACGATCTCGCGGTCTGTGAGTTTGAGCCCCGCGTCGGGCTCTGGGCTGATGGCTCAGAGCCTGGAGCCTGTTTCCGATTCTGTGTCTCCCACTCTCTCTGCCCCTCCCCCGTTCATGCTCTGTCTCTCTCTGTCCCAAAAAAATACATAAACGTTAAAAAAAATTTTTTTTTTTTTAAATTTAGGGTAAGTTTTAAAAGCAAACTATCTTTTACATAGGACTAAGCTTTGTTCCTTAAAAGTTATGCAGGGCATTGGACCAGGGACTCCTTACTACATGGGAATCATGGCTGTAAATATTGTGGCTGCATTCTGCATGGGAAAAGGGGATCCTGGAAATGTGTTAGAGGCACATCTTAGCGTACACCACCCTAGCGCCTTGAGCCAGGAGTAAATGAGCTCAACTATTAGTGAGGAGATGTGACAAGCAAGGAAAGTCGTTTTTTTGTGAGACACTTAGTGACTTAATTAAGAGAGGTGAAAATAATAATAATGAAAATGGCTAATGGAACTAGATAGTTTCCGCACCCTTCCTTCGGGAGCCTCCACTCTCAGAGGCCTCTGAGTTGGGCGTCACAGCCCTGCATAGTGGAAAGCCGGGCTTCCGTGCGGTCCGGCCAGGAACTGTCCAGTGGGAACTGTCCTTGTCCCATCGTCCCTGCCCCAGCTCTAGAGGAAAGGCCTGTGCGGCGTTCAAGCGGGAATATTGCTTCGGGACTGAAACATTTTTTTTAAATACATTTTTTTTTTGGATCCCTGATTTTGTAAACGGTTAGCGTATATAAACACCCACTGAAAGAAATAGGGTTCTGTGACTTTTCACAGTTAGCAAATTATCACCAGAAAAACCCAGGCAGCCTCACATTGTGTCTCCAGAATCCAGAAGTAGTAACCTGAGTGGAAGAACACCATCCGGCTGGCAGCCTGGGGTCACAGACGACCCTGTAGAGACAGACGCCTGGTGAAGCATTCCCGGTGTTAGGCCAGGTTGTGGTCTGACCTGTGGAGGAAGCTGTGGTCTGATTTGTCCTTGGGCGTTTGCTTCTCCCTCAAGAGAGCAAGAGAAACACCTCGGGGAGGTTGGCATTTCTTGAGGGAAAATGGAGAAGGGGAGGGGTCAAGTATTGGTAAGGGGAGCCTGGAGGTTGGGGGTTAGTCTTGGGTTTTGTCAGTATCTGCCTTGTCCCCTCCCCGCACCCCCCCCCCAGTGACACAGAGCCACATGGGGGGCCACAGCCCGGCTGAGTGGCTTCCCAGAGTTAAAAGTTCTCTCAAACTACAACTTGTAAAGCTTTGTGCAAATTACAGTTGAAAGAATATTGCTTTTAAATGCACCGTCAAATAAATTATGAAATAATGTATCTTAATGTAAAAGAAATGCACAAGAGATTGCCTTTTATGACTTTAAAATCAGTTTTACACATTCGGATTTGTCACTTTCCGTGTGGAGCAGCATGTGGAATGTTCAAGACTATAGTTTCAGTATTCTGCTTATCAGAAAACCGTTACTTCGCCTAAAAAGTGTTGTCCTTGGAAAGAATAAGAAGAACAAATTGAACCACCTCTCTATGAAGGCATAAAAAAAGATCCAACGTGAGATACCTTTAGAGTAGCCGACTGACCCAGTCTGCCCAAGACCGAGGCATTTCTAGCAATCCAGGACAGGACTTTCAGTGCTAAACCAGGGGGATCCTGGGCAAACGGGGTGGGGAGGGGGCGCTGGTGCCTTCCGAATGCCAAGAGCCAGGCTAGATGTAGGGTAAAGTGATGAACCAAGTTCAGTGTCTTATAGGCAGGGCCAGCTTAAGGGCTCTCCTTCCAGGGCCGTGCCTGTGAAAACAGTCAGTTGGGGAAGCAGTTTGGAAAAACAGACCCACAACCCTGGGCTCTTCAATAGCCCTTTGCTAACGTGTTTGCATTTGCGTTGCCGTGAACTGTCCATTAGGACCAAGTTAGTTTTAGGTTAGCAAGGGTGCTTTTTTATCCCTAATGTTGTAGACGCCCCTCTCCCCGCACACACACTCGCACTCCCTAGCCCGCAACATTTAAATATCCCAAGCCATCAGGGAATATCTTCCGGCCACTTCTTGCCCCACGGGCCCCCTGGATGTATTTGATTTGGCCTCTTCACTCAGTTCGTTCATCACTTTCCTATTCGTGTGGTCCCCACCTTCGGTTTTTCCGGCCCGTGTGGGTGTGGGTAACCAGGCACAGGGCAGTGCCCACACGGGGGGCTAGCCACAAGTAACGTGTCTTCGGT